GCATACACGCTTTCTGCATACATAACCCACAAACCTCTGTTTCTCTTCTAATACAAATGAGCTATTTGTGTCTCTGTGTTTGTTCTAAATCTAACTAAATCATGCACATTTTGTTTATGTCTGTACACGCCTCTACATTCATGACGTTTGCTACAAGGCTGTGCTACCTGCTTTTAACCTTTAGCTATGTGACAATGTTTGTGTCTGTGCTGTGCTTCTGTGTTGTGGAATGGTTGGGCCTGCTTCTTGGCGTGGACAGTTTGCATCAACACTCGCAGGACACACACACACACACACACACACACACAGAGTTAGCTAACATGGATACTATTAACAAGAAGTTTGGAGGAATGTTGGAAAAGGGTATTTGCACAAAGAAGGAAAAGGTTATTTGAGCTATTTTGGGTTCTTTGAGAAGAAATATGACAACCTTTGTACCCTAAAAATAATTTCCTCATTCATTCCTGGTTTCTTTACTCTGTGCTTTCTAGGAGTCCAGTTTCATATGACCTTCAATTCTTTCAGTTTTTCTTTGGTGATTGGCTGCTCATTCACTCACTTTCAAACCTGTACCTGAACATAAACCAAATTGCTTGTTTGTTTGCTTGATTAAGTCATTTAATGCTAAGTTGTGATTCATTTTGGTGTTAGTGATTCATTTTGGTGTTAGTGATATGACTTTAAAAACACAAAGCAATGAGCCAGTTCTTCAATGATTCACACTAAAACTGTGTATTTATGCAGTTTTAGCCACAGTCGTAGCCTGTCACACCAACACAATAAGTTTCCATCACTTTTTTTGACTCTAAAAAAATACCAAATAAAAGTTTGTTTGTTTTTTCAGAAGATAAAATCGTATTTTGCTGCTAAAAAAAAAAAAAAAGGGATTTCCGAAGTTACATTTATCTCTGTTGTTGGGGTTGGGAGCCTCTGATCAATGGGAGCTTTTAATAAATGAAAATACAACAGTAAAGCGTATTTAAATGTTGCGCAGTTGAGCAAACACTTGTGCAGGACATGTTCTCATGATACAGGGATTAGACTAAATAGTCTTTATAATAAACATAAAGACATGCTTAGTAAACATTGAATCACAGTCACAAAAGTTACAAAGACCCCCATCTCTTTGGAAGCAAAATATAAAATCTTACATTTTTGCACAGTGTTTATTGATGTCAGACTATTTTTATGAAATCATTTATCTTAAACGTAATTCATCTTTGATGTGCTCAAAAACATCTGAGCTGATTTTAGGTGTGTGTTGGAGGGGGCTGTGTGCTAGAGCAGAATGGTTGATTTCACTTTTTCTCTTCTGAGATGCTCCTTACACTCTGGATGAGCAATTTTTAGATGATCCTCGTCTCATCCCGAGTGGCTGTTTTGCTAACTCCTTGGCCTGTATATTTATATATATATATATATATATATGTGTGTGTGTGTTCAACCAGAGGTTGCTATGAAAGAGTTCTGTTGGTAGACTCTAAAAGATTTCTTTTTAAATTCAACTTTATTATTCATTACTTTCAGAACTCTTCCATAATGAAAACATTTGTGGAATTGACCATATCTTATCTCATATAGTCCATGTAGATTTAGTCTGTGGAGAGCTGGGACTTTTTGTGTGCTTTGTTTATTAATGTCAAGTCTTTTATTGATACATGCAAAAGCTAATTCTAACCTTTTAGGACTTGAATAAAAAAAAGCCAGCTCTTCTCAATCTAACTCTACTGAATGAACTGTGTCACTGTGGCTCAAAGCTCTCATTTTGCCTTTTTGTTTTGTTCTTGTAGATAAGTACTCTGTGTTGAGGGGTGTAGCGGGCGAGGGGGAGAGAGAGAGCAATACAAAATGGCATTTAAACATCTCCCCTTTCCAGGTATATAACAACTGTGTGAATGTCTCTCTCTCTGAGGACACAACACAGAGTGACCTGCTTAAACGTGTGTGCTGACTGACTGCCATGTCTTTCTTCTCGCTCACCCCTTCCCCCTCCACCCATCTGTCTCTCCAATTTACTTCTCTTCCGTCCACCCTGCCATCTTTCAATCTGCCTGATCTTGTCCGTCACTCATCCTTTTCTGTCTTGGCACGGCTGTTGTTGGTCTGCCTGTGCTTTTTTTTATTTTTTGTTTGTTTGGACTGGTTTTAATCTTCTCACCTCTCTCACACACACACACACACACACACACGCACACAAAACATACATGTGAACTCCTACACATTGTATCCTCCTTTCTGTCTCTCCCCTTTCAACCTAAATTTGCTGAAACTTTCCACATCATGCACCAACGCCAGGCACAGGCGGACGGTCCATCTGCCATGCAAGCTGCCGATTCGTGTCCCCACGGCCCCAACGAGCACCCCCTCTCGCTGGGCAGTCAGACCCAGAACCAGACCTCCAACACGGCCAACACAGCTGGCTCCACCGCCACCCATTACCAGCCCCCAGCATGCTGCGACATTCCCTGCGCGCTAATCGTGCAGCATTCCTACGAACCCACCAACCCCTCTGAGATCACCCCCAAAATGAGAATGACCACCTTCACCACCTCACCTCCCACACCAAGGTTATACATACAATAGAAGATAACAAATATAACCCTTGGTTAGTAAAGCTTGAAGACAACATTGTACATGAATGATCATTTGAAGGGAGATGACTGACGACAGGAAATGAGACCTAAACTTGCTGCAAGGCTGGAAGCAGAATTACCTCTTTAATAAAAAAAAAAAAAGTTTGTTTACCTGTCATGTTGCCAGATGACTTATATATGCAATAATGCCTTGCTGCCATTAGAGGGGGCTTTCTCCACGTTTGGACAAAGAGGGCCCTTCTCCAGCAGACAGTTGAAGTCGCATGGTTTTTACAACATGAAAACTTTGTAATGAGATATACCTTCTATATTACAAAGACACATGTAAGCCAAAAGAGATTTAGTGATCAATTTGACATTTCATTTTTCAAATTAAACCTTTGCCTTTAACAATGAACCAGGGTATGTAAATATTAGATGTGGGAGGTTCTAATCATTCTCAGATTCAGGGTTAATTTTTCTTCAATATCAGAGTGGACTTCGTTGCAGATTAATATATATATAGATATACCTTTAAGAGAGATATATTATAAAAGTATTCAGGTTTTACTGCTTTAATCTTCTATTGCTTCAGGCCACTATTGCTCAGTCCTAATAGGCACCCCTGCATTTCCTCTCACGGACGGCAGAATGACCATTTGTGATTCGATCCTACCTTCCACTTCCCTTTATTTGTGCTGATGCCATTCCCTCTCCTTTACAATTCTTTCCTCCAAACTCCAAACGTGCCTAGTTTAAACACAAACATTAGCAGTCCCTCCGTCCTCCCCTCCCTCCAAAGGTGTCTCATTTAGATGGTACCTGGTGGGCAGGGCCCACTGCTGGTTCCCCTGCTCTGCTCGTGAGTAGGGCCAAAGAATTCAGCCGAACAGACCCCCACAGATGCGATGGAAAACGGTCAGTAAATCTCTGTTTATCCCCAATCTTGTGGCTTCCACCTTCAAAAAAAATAAAAAACTCCTTTCTGATTTTACCCAAATACTATCACTGTGAAATCCAAACCAACCAACCTGTCTCACCCCACTCTGACCAGTCCTTCCTCCAAGACCCTCTCACAGAAAAAGCTTGGGATCCCAGAAGCACGTTCCCCACGAGTATGTGTGGTAGATGTAAAAAAATTAATTTTGGAAACACCTCACTGAACTTTTTATCCCTCCTACTGTTGACCCAAGTCCCCTTCTACTTTATATGCAGCTGTCATTCACTGGAAACTGAAACCCTTCCCCCCCCCTGCACTCATACTCACCTTTCCTTATGTAGTAAAAGCATGAAACACCTCTCACTAAGCATTACAGCCTTTTCAGTAGTTAAGTTATATGTGAATATAGTCATAAATGTACATTGTAATAAGTTTCATTTATCTGATAAAGCAAATTTATTTAAAGCTTAAGTTAATCTATGTGCTTTGAATGGCTAAGATTGTTCAGCAATTCATGTAAATAACTGTATGGTCCAATTGTAGACATAAGAATTTCAACAATGAATTATGGCCTGAAAAAAATTCACTTGAAAGTGAGACGTTAATCTCAAGTGAATATTTTGCAGATAGAGGCCATGATGCAATGTAGTGATGAGAAAGTGTTGAGTATTTATCTACAAAGTTACCCCTAAGTTTTGTAGTCAGTCAAGCTTTGCTTGATAGTAACGAGACCCTGGAATGGCAGAGCGCACAGCATGTCAGCAGTGTGTCGTCTCTGTCCATTCCTGACTATTTGCACTCCCTTTAAGGCCTTGTAGAAGTGTGTTTATGTTTCTTTTTGTTAATATCCTGACCACAGCTCAGAGTGTGCTTCTCTATTCCTCCCTCCATCCTTCCCCCTCCCCTCTTCCTTGTTTTGCTCTCCCCACTTCTTGTCATGTCCATTTTTTTTTTTCCCTGTAACCATCAAACGAACGTTTGACGCTGTTCTTTCACGTCATGTACATTTTCTTGCTGGGTTTCTCAAATACTTTGACTTTATCTTTTTTAAAATTGCCCTCCCCTCATCTGCATTTGCCTTTTATTCTACTTTTCGTTTTAACTTGATTATTACATATTATTTTTACTGGTTGGATGGATTACATCCTTGTTGCTGAAAACAAATACACCCCATTGGTTCTCCAAATTCACTCTCTCTCTACTATATGCCTCACTCTGCCCCATGCTGTCTTTATCTTCCTTCGTATATTCTCCACACTTTACTCTCTAATTTTCTTTGTCATCATCTCCCTCTTTCTATATCCTCTCTTCACTTCTGTCCATCCTTCCTTAAACATTGCCTACAATTCTTTTTTTAATCCAAATTCATCCTTCCTCTCCCATACTGATGAATTTTTCCTCTCATTGATCTCTGCTCTCCCTGCATTTGTCATCGTCACTTCCTCCTCTTCTTTCTTCTCCTCTTTCCAACCCTCCCAACCCTGCAGGACGATAAGGAGATCGACCTGGAACACCTACACCGCAGGGTTAACAGCCTGTGCACCGAGGACGAAAGCCCCCACAAGCAGTTCTCCACCTCTTCCGTCGATTTAACCCCCCTTGACATGGATGCACTTCCTGCTGCACGACAGGCGCTCGAGCAGATCAGCGACTTCCGCAACACACACATCACTACCACCACCTTTATCCCTGAGCAGATCCAGACCCTGAGCCGCAGCCTGTCTGCCAAAGCCGCAGCTGGGTTTTCCTCTGGTTTTGGTGGCGGCACCACCCTTCAGGACCACCGAACTGGTGGGGTGGGCCCCTTCAGGCAGAGGGCCCCAAATGGTGGCTTCTTCCGCAGTCCCATTAAAACTATGTCCTCCATTCCTTACCAGCCAACAGGTCCAGGACCCAATTTTGGATACGGCAACGATCCAGACAGGGGCACCTCCATTTGAGGTGCTGCAATGGATATAGCTGGTTTGGGAGAAGAAGTAAGAGGAAGAGGTGGTCTGAGTATGTCATGGGGTGGTTGAACAAATATTTCATGGCTAGGCTAAAATGTCAGAGGATATATATATGTGTAAACAGGAATATTTGTTTCTGTTTTTAGTTTTTGCTCGGGTATCCAGAGGTGTTGACTTTGTATGTGGGGGGTAAAAAACGAAAAAGGTGGAGGTCTGGAGGGGTATTCTTCATCCTCCCACAAACAATGCATCTCTACTTTATTGTTGTCGTTGTTGTGATTGTTTGGGGAATTATTTTGGGAGTTACATCTGAGAGGGGACCTATTTTTTATTGATGTGTTTTAGTTCTCTGACACGAGGACTTTCTCATGTACTGCTGAAATGACCTGACACTTTTTGCTGTATGAACACCCTCTTGGTGGGTTTAGTCAAAAACTAGTTTAACACCAAGACCTACCCCCTTGTTAGCTCCAGAGTTGCCATTGATGAAGAATTGTAGCTCTCTTTATCCTTGAAATAATTTTCAGGGGTTTTGACTGCTAGCAAAAATGAGGCATTAACATTATGAAAACAAAACACAAGGTGTTGTCTTGAAATCGAGGATCAACTATCTCTAGTTTAATGCTGCCTTTCCACTATTTGAGAGGCTGGACTCGTTGTTCTCTTCACTGGTGTTGTTGTATCAATGCCTTTGGTTCTGAATATGTAAGGAATCCCAGGATGATATCCTTGCGAGGGAGCCTGATCGAGACATAAGACCTTGCAGACGAACACATGTTGACGCCTCCACGGTGCATCAGTGTGAAAATTGTTGAAATGCCATGACAGTGTAACAATGTGACACTGTAACTCACCAGTTTTGGTGCATCAATCTTTAAAGTCCTTCTGCCATTTTTTGGTGCATCAGCCTGAAACTGTTTTCACCACTTTGATGCACATTAAACTCTTTGTCAATCCTTCTGCACTGTACCAGTGCCCACAGACCTGTAAGTGATTGTATGTAGATCTTACCTTTTATTTTCGCTCACCTGTATTGTGCTATCTGCTTTTTGATTCGAGGTGAGATACTCCAACCAGACTCTGAGGTGTAGGAGAAATGGACATTCATAAAAAGCAGCTGAAAAAGCGAGGAACAAAAAAAAGACGAGCTGAAAGACTTCACAAAGCTTATGCTTATTATATGTCTTTTATTGAGTTTTGTTTTGAGAAAAAAAAAGATTTTAATGCGTGGAATGTGTTTTGGTCAGGAAGTACAAAAAAAATTTCACATTGTTCTGAGCTGTCTACTTGTTTTTATTTCCTCTCTCTGAGCAAACTTTGGAAAAACTGCTAAACAATTGCTGTAGTATCTGATTTCGTGTCACATTCAAATTTCTGCTCTTTGATTTTTTTTTTTTCTGTTTTGATTAACCTTTTAGTGCTACCATAGCTCCTGTGTTTAGAAGATAAAAGCTCACTTTGCAATGTCATGTCACATCCAAGAATCATGAATTGCATCTTATCAGGTTCAAGTGCTGAAATGAAGTAGAGTCTGTGTTCGAGGCAAAGCCATTGCAACAATGTCTTCAGTACGAGCCTTATGCGACCGCCAGCTAGCTGTCCCCTCCCAGCATCCAGGAAACCCCAAACCACTGCTGTGTACTGGAAACATTACAGCAAATCTTTGTAGAGATGGAGATCGAGGCAATGCCCTGAAGGATCAGTGATCATCAGAACCTACTGAGTCCAAAATACACTTCGATTTCATATTTTTCACAGAAAAGGTACTATTTATATAACTTGTTTTTTAAGTGCCAATTAATTAAAAACAAAACCATTAAGGTGCATTTTTTTTGGTGGGGAGTGGAGCATTTTTGTGGATTACTTTGTGAATTAGAGGGCAGGTTGGTGAGGTGGAACCAAACCTTTTTATTTCACTAACACTGTATTAATAATTGGTAATGTTAGTTGTTTAGAGCAAGTTTTTGGTTTCTTATCTTTTTTGAGCTAAAGCTGCAAACTGTTGTGTGTAGAGAATTCAGTCAAGCCACAGTGTTTTGAAGCAAGCATTGTTAGGGTTTCTTTTCTTCTATTAGAATACAGTCGGGCTATTGAATGACAAATAGGACACATACGTTTAAAAAGATTTATTTAGTATAAATGAAAGAGACATTATGAAAATGTATATTTTACATGTTGATGCTATTTTTGTTTAACAAAAAGGAAAAGACTATATCATGTCGAGCTTTAGTATTGAGTTGAGCAGGTAAATTACTGCCTTTGGTTCTCCCCGTCCTGCCCATGGTAAACATAAACATACACACCAATCACACCGATGGTTTGCTTTTTCTTTCTTTTTTTTTTTTTTTTTGTTTTAATCATATCATTCAGACTTTTTTTTCTGGCTAAATAACAAAACTTAGCAAGTTCACTAAAAAGAAAGCATGCACAAACTTGCTGTCTTAGCTGTCTGTTAACATTTTTGATTTCTTACATAGAACTACAGGATTTACTTGATAATTTTCCAGAATTTATGATGTACAGTATTTAATATAGGCCTATTTTGTTGTATGTGTTGCATAATATTCAAAAACCGAAACAAACTGGGGCCTCTGTTACAAGTGGCAAAGCTTTCTGTGTATAATTTGTCTAATAAACAGGTTTTCTACAGTGGGATGTATTTCTTGTGTTTGCTTACCGGACAACAAATGACTCATTTAGCATGTTTTTTTGTTTGTTTGTTTTTGTTTTTGTTTTTTTTTTCCCATAATAAAAACGCAATTTAGAGTAACTGTAGACATTACTGTATTATAATGTGATTTTATATGAACAATATGGCAAAGGATTACTATTTTATACCTGAAACCTTTCCTTTTTGTCAATAGATGTTTTAAATTTTTATTTTCCTGGATTCTTCCCAACTCTACAAGAAATATCTTGCTGGTAAATTAAACTACACTGGTAAGTGCACACAGTTGCAGTCCTTTACAGTAGCATTCCTATTTTTTTTGTACTTTATAACATTTTGTTCCATTACAAACACAAACTATAATAATTATCGTATCATACAAGAAAAACATAACATAATGCAGATTTCTAGAGTGCAAGTAAACTGAGTTGTCGAGATTGTTCACATAAAAAAAATACCTGCAATGTCTAGCATGCAAATTTCTATCTGTTTGTATATCGTCTGTCTGACCAACAAAATTTTGTCTTGAAGATTTAGATTTTTTTTACAACAAATATTAATTCAATGATTGATTAATATGACTGGAATTCAATCAGACCTGTTTGTTTTTAATATTGGTTCCCTAAGATCACTGTTTGTTGTGATTAGGTGCTAATACAGACAAAGTTAATTGAACCAGGGTTTCACTGTGGAGTTGCTCTCAATGCTCTTACCTCACAACAAGATGGTAATCTCAGCCTGGAGCCTTTAAATGTGGAGTTTGTATGTTTGTCTGTCCCAGTATATTTAGGTGTTTCTCTACTGGACTGGCGACTGGTTTGGGGAAGACCTGATGAAGATGCTCATAATCCCCTCCTGGCCCTATAAAGATTAAGCAGGTATATAAAATCAATGGATGAGTTGAACTTAAAGAGGAACAAACTTTAGACATCCAAGAAGGTGTCAAACACAAGACTTTTCTCCACAAGAAGAACTTAGAGATTTTTAGTAATTACCACATGGTTTGCCAGGTTAATGTAGCTTTGTTTATACATTAAATCATCTGTATAACATTTGTTTTAATCACTTTTGTTGAAGTTATAATTTTATAAGTAAAAGGTTTAAATTTTCATGGTCATTTCATGGTCTCTCATTTTAAATTTCTTATAACTTCAAAGGCTGTTTTACTGATGTTCACAGCTGGATAGACGCTCTCAAGTTCACTGGAGCATTATACTGAAGTAGCATTTATTCACCAGACAGTGGCGCTGTTTAGCTTTTCCAGTTATCGCAGATCTCCCTTCACTTTTAGAACTATGTTTTGTTGGGAAATAATGTTAACCAGAGATTGGAGAAAAAAAAAAAAAAACACTAATTAAAGAAGATAGTCTCAGTTAGCTATGAAGCTGTGAGATTTGCAGAAAAGGACAGATTAAACAAAACTGGCATTAAAGTCCCTCAGCCTTCTGGAGAGTTGACATTAATCTTGCCTTCACTTATTTCGCTGTAAATCAACAGCAAAAATCTCTATATGGGTGCAAAGTCTGACTAATGGAAACTGACATCAGGGGCACCTCATGACTGGGGCCCAATTCATCCTCATAATTTATTTAATAAATAGGAGCAATTATTAGAACATTGTCTCAGTGCAGACGAAGACTTCGAAATGACGTAACATTTATTTACTGATGAGTTTGCAATCTATGAAAAGTGACAGAGGCAGAAATAATTATTTACATATTGCCATTATACTTGCTACTATTAACTATCAAAACTATTATTTTATTGCACCATGAACATCCGTACATGTAAGATACTGAGTTTGGATCTTGAACAGTCTGTGGAAACTTCATTCTCCCGATAAAAAAGTAAAGGAATTTATCTGTTCCACACAGCCTTCAGAAATATGCACAACACAAATAATCAAAGTCATTTTTAGCATCATAGAGTAATTCGTTAATAGATATTATAAACATTATAAAGATGAAATATTAAACGATTCATAATAATTCGTGAACTCGACCAAAAACAACTTGAGACAGCAGCAGTGATGGGACATCCGGAAGCCAGGCTTCGAGGCATGTACCTATAGTAAAAGGGGGGCGTGTCAGATGAAGCCCCGCTTCGACGCTTGCGTCTCTCGCTTAAAACCATCTGACTGACAATAAAGGATGCCTCTCATTGGACACATCGTTTTGGGTGCCGATTTTCACAATAAAAGCGCCATGAGCCGTGGTGCTTCTTGGTTTGTCATAGGTAATTTGGCAGCATATGATGAGTGTTTTCCATCAGGAGCAGCTGAAATAGAGCCAACAATCAGGCTTTCCTGTAACTACCTTTACAGGAAAGCCAATTTATAATTTATATAATTTATAGTGCTGATTAGCCTGAGCATTCACAACAGGATGAGCTGACGGGGAAAAGTTGTAGTTGTAGCAGAGAGTTAGGGGGGGGAGGAGGCGGGGCATGAGCAGCGATATTGTGATTGACAGCGCTAAGACCCACCTGCCGGCTCTGATTGGTTGTTTCTAGAAGGCAGATGAGCTCGACTGTTCCGCAGTTTGTCTGTCCCATACCATACTGCCACAAGATAGTGACTGTACAAAAAAAAAAAATACATATTTTTTAAATTGGTAAGCCATAGTCATAATTAGAAATAGAAGTATTTCGCTCTGTGCAATGAATCTATGTGTTCTATTTTTTTGAAACGAGCGGCAGAAATATAACTTTTTATTCTTTATTTTTTTTAGATGCATCTGTACAACATACACCCTCAACACATCGAGCTGACTTGCAAAACAAATGGATTTGAAGTTACTGGGCAGGTTAGCTGCAGATAAAAAAAGGGGGGGGGGGGCATTAGCACAGAAACATCTCATCACAGGCGGTCTTACATTTGTATTTACAGGATTTTCTTGAAAGATTATTATGAGATCCCTGCCCACCTCCCCGCCTCGTGCCCGGCGCGCCCCAGTCTCCAGGGAGACGGGAATGAGAGGGGGCAGCACGCAGACTCCTCTTGCGCATTGGAATGGGAGCCCGTCCCTCTCTCTCCCCCTGCAGGAGCTTCCCCCCTCAGCCGTGACCAATGGAACATAGAGTCTCCATTGTGGCTGAGACACTTTAATAATCGCCAGCTACAATATCCAACCTGTCGGTAGCTTCAGGAGCCCAGCCCAGCACGTTGGAAGCGGGGGCGGGGGGAGAGGCTCAGTGGTGGGAAGAGGAGGGGGCGAACGCTCGGCGCCAGACCTCCACCCCTAAAGATGTCCCCGCGATGAATAAATGAATAAAAAGTAGAAATGACTGAGGTCAGGCTGTCTCTGAAATTGTGCGATTTATTCTCTGGAATTATGTTTTTCCTTCTTTATAAATTGCCGTGACAATATTCCTTGGGTTTCTGAGCCAAAGGAGACGGTTATCAGGCACCATCTGACCAAGTGTAGTAATTGAATCTTGATATAGTCATTAGGTTATCTAATGTTAAAAAAAAAAAAAATTGAGGCTCAGGGGTAAAACCGTCCTGATTGCCTCCTTGGTCATCCTTCCTTAAACACTAATCATTTGCTGTAATCTTTTCACCGCTCAGGCAATTAGTCTTAATGGCTTATTTCCACTTAGTGACTTGGTTATTTGGTGGGAGGTTTGCACGTCAGTAAATGATATAAATGATATAATGTACAAATAACAGAGGTGTGATCTAAGCAATATTTTTTTTTTTACTTTCTTTTTAGTCTGTGCAGTTTTCCAGTTAGCTGTAACCTCCTGTGTTGTATGTGGCAAAAAAAAAAAAAAAGCCTGCATCAAATTCGTTATATTTAAGTGAACTTGCAAAGTGCATACGTCTGTCTGTCATGCGTGTGCGTCCTCACCATCTTGCTCCCTGCGCGCCACAATACAGTCCGATCGGAGCGCCAGACCTCATCTCATGTTTCAGTTCCCTGTGAAGCCCTTTTCTCACCGACAGGGCGTTCCGAGAGCCGGATCAAAAGGTTTTGAACCAGCTACAAAGGAAAAATGGAAACCAGAGATGATCCTGGATTTAATAAATCCACAATGAGTGCGCGAGCCCAAGCAACCGCAAATATTTCCCCCTTAAAAAAAATAAAAATCTTTTAATGTTGGCTTCAGGGCTTCCTTAACTTCCTCCTACATTTTACTTTATTCAGTTCCAAACGGGACTTTTATGTCATGTAAAGCGCAACATATTTTTTATTTATTTTTTTTTTTTTTTGTGTGTGAGGTTTAGATTACAACTGAATTTTGGATTGTGTTAAATGTTAATCATAATTACTTAAAATATAGCAAACTATTCGTTTGCAGAGGTCAAAGTCTAACATTATAGCACACTTGTAAAAACTTTTTTTAAAGTATTTGCACAAGAATTTAACTTAATGAAAGTTTCACCATTCAAAGTTAAACCATGGTCAACTCAAACCAGATTAGCAGGATTATTTAATCAGTTAGAGTTAAGCCTAATTTAATCAAATTTAAACACTAATTCACTTTGTATTCAGCGACTATGCAACTATAACAAAAACAGCAGGATAAAAATATACATTTCCAATGCAGGATTTCTCAAAATATTAAGTTTAAAAAGCACTCCAAAAGTGCTTTTTAAAACACTTTTGGATGTAAATGATATAATGTACAGATAACTTTCGGCACACGAGGGAGGGGAACGGCCAGAAGGATAAGAACCAACAATAGATGACAACAAGCAACCAGGATCCACACAAATAAGCAAATTTCAAGTTGACTTGTTAACGTCACTGTTCATTACATTGAAGAGATTGAAGAGGACATAGTTGACTTGTCCATAACTGAGTACGCAAACTATTCTCTAAGCTTATTACTAACTTGGTTCATGTTACATGGGCAGCCATGCAGAGGTGGCCCTAGCCCATTTGGCCCCCTGGGCAAACCACCTTTTTGGCGCCCCCACAGCACCCCCGCCCCCCTCCGCTCCCCATGAGAAGTTCTCCACTTATATTAACTTCCAAAC